GCCTAGCTTCCCTGCTCCACCCCTTCTAGGCGGTGCCTCTGAATGGGTGCCTGTTGGAGGAGGCGTGGCTTCCTGTCCGGCCAATGAACGAATGAAACTGCGCAAAATTATTAAAAATAAACAAATTATCTGGAGAATAACGGAGGATGGAAAGAAGGAGCCTGAACGAGAAAGTTCAGTCCAGACAGAGTGGAAAAGCGACTAAAATGCTTGGTTGCCCAGAGCGGATCAACTATGAAACTAATGAAGCTTTCAGGTCCGTGGTCCCTAATCCCAGAGGAGACTTTAGTCTGCAGATCTGCTATGGAACAATCCCATTGGAGGAGATAACGGTGGTTTCCCAGACCTCCTTGCGAAGGGGCCCCCCACAACAGGTCAAGCTTCAGGGCCCCCAAAATGTAGGGCCACCCTCGGGGCCGCCTGACCTTTCTCCATGTATTCGGTGATGATGTACATGGGCTTCTGAGTCACCACGGCGTAGAGGGCCACCAGCCGAGGATGCCGCAGCTTCTTCATCAGGTTGGCTTCGGCGAGGAAGGCCTCGGGCGACATGCTTCCTTGCTTCAGGCTCTTGACGGCTACTTTGGTGTGGCCCTTGTAGTAACCTGGAGAGGAACGGAGTGACCGTTTCAAGGCTGGGACTGGGGCCCATGCTCTGTGCCCACAAGGACCTCTGTGGAGCCAGAGGTGGCCTCCGGTCCCGGAGCTGCCCCTCCAGCCAGTGTTACGGTCTCCTCTGCTGTTGCACCTTCTCGCCCGCCTCTCCCAGTTCTCCGCACTCACCCATCCAGACTTCTCCAAACTGCCCGGCGCCCAGTTTCTCCACCAGCTTGAGGGTCTCCCGAGGGACTTCCCATTCATCCTGCCACCACGGCTTCTGTGGCTTCTGCGTCTGGCAGGGTTTGCCGAGCTGGGTGCAAAGCCCATCGCTCCTGCCTGGGGAGGGGGGTGGCAGAAGGGGAGAAGGCAGACAAAGCACACCTGGTGACACACGGAGAGCACATCCCCGGAGATTCGACGGCAGCAGGAAAACAGGGGGCAGAGCAGAACCCTAGACCCCAAACCCCTCAGCCCACTTGTTCACCGTCCCTTGAGACCACCAGTCCAGAAGGTCTCTGTGCCAGACGGCCAGGCTAACAGTCTGTTTGGGGGCACAAACTGGGAGGAGTAACTTTAGCAGGGCACCACAACAGCTGTGGAATCATGGTTCGGGCTTTTCCAAAACATAACTCTCAGAACCTGCTCGCCACTCCGTCTGGAAGGGTGAGGGAGAAGCAGAGAAGAGTTTTTTTTGGGGGGGGGTTTCATTCTTATTTTGCATACTTTGGATAATCCTCGATCGAGTCATCAGTCAAGTTGTAGGTTTTTCCAAAGTTGGAAGCTGCTCTGCCTGCCAGGAAATGTCAGGGTCACTGCACGGCTAGATAAGGCATGGTAGAGAGAGAGAGCGAGGCTCGCTGGAGAAGGGATTCCCGCTTGGGAAGAATACATCTCCCAGAATCCCCTAGAAAGCTCAGGGAATCCAGGCGAGATGGTTCCAAAAGGTTAGCTCCAGATACTGTAGTTCAAAGCTGATGTATGTACACCTTGACCTTAAGGATGCCCGAGCACGCGTTTGAGCTTGTTTGAGACCTCCATAGATCATACAAGGGGACAAAGGACTGGATTGGAGACATTCTTTCTTTCTCTCTCTCTCTCTCTCTCTCTCACTCACTCACTCACTCACTCACTCACACACACACACACACACACACACAGAGGGAGAAGGCGCCATCATGATGAGCGCTCAAGCTCAGACGGGCTCTTCAGCCTTACTCATGTAATGCTCCACCAGGCTGTGCAGGCTGTCAAAGGTGATGCGAGGGGAGATGTAAAACCCGCCGTTGTCCATGTTGCGGATCTTATAGTGCTTCACGACTTCTCCTTGGTTCTGGTCAAAGTCACGCACGGAGAGGGAGAAGGAACCTGTGGAGAGCCACGAGAAAACGGAAGCTTAATACATGTCCTCCTCTTCATACTAGAAATAGATTGTGAGCATGAGGCCTATCTTGCTCTGATCTCTGGCTATTTCAGGTGCACTTGTACTTGGATAAATTGATGTCTTCAGTAGGACCCCTATATCTGCGGGATCGGTATCCACGGTCTAAATATATTAAAAGGAAAGAAAAAGAACATATTTCCATGATGCAGTTACTAGAACTAGCTGCTAGAGGGGACCAGATAGCCAATGGATAGTGCTTGCTATTATCCACCCTACCCTCCCTCCTGTGTTCAAACCCGGCCAGGGTGCTCCCTGCCCCCCCCCAAATGTCACTTGGGCATTGCTGTGGTGGTTCCTCTCAGTTACCTTTGGTGGATTCACTTTCTCGGATGAGGAAAGCGCCATGTGTGTTGCCCGGGGTCAGGAGCTGCCGTTCAGCATCCTTTCTGCTGAGGGCTTTGAAAAACCAGCTGTGAGAAACAACAGAGAGTTTGCAAAGTTTGATCTAAGCAAAACCAGAACCATCCTTTGGCTTTTGAACAAAGCTGAAGGGGACCGGAGGCCTGAGATGGGTTGCTCTAAGGCAGCCGCCGTGCAGAGAACAAGGAGGAAACACCGCAAGAAGCTGTACGGACTAGTCTTGACCGGGATTGCCTTATATTTACTTATGTGCAAGCATGGGGGCGCATGACAGAACTGCCGGATAGCTCCATGGTCGAGGTCTCTGGCAGCAGAGGTTGGGAGTTTGATTCCCCCACTGAACCTCCCTGACTGGGGCTGGACTTCATGATCCTTGGGGGTCCCTTCCTGCTCTGCAGTCCTAAGGTTAATGTGATCATTATTTCTTTACTTCCCATAGCTTAGGGGGGCTGCATAGTTTAAACAAGTAATTGGTTATAGTTATTGTGGAAGCATGAGATACGTAACTGTGCAGAATTATAGTTACTTGTGCATTTCTCCACTTCCAACATTGATCAGGGATTTATGGCTTAATCAGCTAATGAATTCTATCACTCAATAGAAACATCAACTGGAATCTAATTGGTGTTCACATAAATTTGGGGCAACTTCCGGCTGCTAATTGATAAGGCGCATGACCAGGCATGGAACGTATGAGACACACTCCATCAATTACAGTTGCATGAACGTTTCACAAACAGCTATATTTATTTTACAATATTTTAACCCTGTCTTTCTCCTAAAAAAAGGACCCAAGTCAGCTGGCATCATAAGAACCGCAATATTAAAAGCTAAAGCAGCAAATTGTTCAAATTTTAAAGAAAGATTAATAATATTATATTTAAAACTTTAGGGAAACAAATTACACACACACACACACACACACAAGATTTAGAAACAACAAAATATAAACCATCTTGTCTATTGTCTCCTAGACCTAGACAGTAAAAGGAAAAGCCTTCCTGAAGAGGTCTTAAAAGGAAATGTGAGAAATAAACATACATATTCTCCAAAAAAAAAAAAGAGATCAAGTTTTATTTGAAAAAGGTTTTGCAAATGTTACCAATAAATTAATCAACTGACACTGAAGTCTTATACCCAGTTACTGAGGAATAAGTCCTAGCAAATTCATGGCCTGAGCTGGTATAAAGGATTAATTTATAAGCTTAAAATGATTGGTTGGCTCTTCTTCTTTTTTTAAAAAAAAAAGTGAGGATGGCGATGCGTGCACAGAGAGAAAGGGGGCCTTCTCTACTCACGGCTCTTGTTCCAGACTGTTCATCTTCGCGACAAAGCTGGACGGGATGTAGCCCACTTTTCCTGTGGTGAGAGACTGCGCTTTCCACCAGTCCCCGGATCTAAACGGAAAGAACCAAGCATCAGATCCCAGTCCTTCCCTTGCCCAAAACAGACTCTCTTGGGGGGGGGAGGTCAGTTGAGTTGGTTTACATTTGTCCCCCCCCATTTCTTCTCCTTTTCTTTGAGAAGCTTCCCTTTTCACAGCTGATAATAAACACCAAGGTCAACGCGGCTCCACCATCCTAGCTATGAACCAAACCGTTCCGAGATCTGTAGATGCAGACAGTGTTACCTTCTTGACTTTGCCTTGCCCTTTCAATCCTGGATGTGAATTGGCATTCTCCAGAACACTTGGCACACGTTAATTAGTTAACTCTTGCTCAAAGGCCTCTGCAGGAATTTGGTGATATGGGGGCAGGGGAGGGCAGAGAGCTGCATAATGGTATGTTGCCATGATTCCTTCCCACGGACACCCATCTTCCTGTCGCACACACATTGGCTTGAAAGTTAGAATTTAAGCACTGGGACAACACCGAAATTTTCCTTGCTGGTTCAGGTTTATAGCAACGGTCTTACAATGTCATTATATGCTCATCCCAGCCAAATTCACTTGGAATTGTGAATTTTATTTAGAAACAGTTTGTTTAACACACTTTATTGAGAAGCACGTTTGAGGAGATGTTGCATCGGGTGAGCTAAACCAACAAGGCAGTTTGTGCTGATCTCAAGGGTGACAACTCACTCTTTGTCGGGGCGCCACAATACCACAACGGTGTGTGAAAACGGACTTACTCCTCCAAGATCCGCAGCTGTTCTCCCCGCCGGAGCACCAGATCGGCCTCATGGTTTGCTTCATAGTCGTAGAGGGCAACAACCAGTTTATCTAAACAGTAAAATTAACAGATGACGCTTTTTAGAAGCCCAGAGAGTCCCTTCTATGTCATAATATGGTTAACTGAGAGAAGACGCAAGGCCTTTTCAGTGTTAGCACCGAAAACATGGAAGGCATTCCTCTGGAAGAATGAACTCTCTCTTTTCCGACCTTGAGATTTCAAAGATTTCAACCACAATGCAGTTGCTCAACTCCAAGAAGCAGTAATTGCCTAAGCCTTTTTCATCTCCCTTATTTCCCCATATGCTTTCCAGAATAGTTTAATTGCATTGCTCACATTTTTATCCATGTCTGGATGTATAATTAGAGTTTCTGAAGATGCTTGCCCAGAAAAGCAGAACCAGAGATTCCTCAACAATCAGTGGCCAACCCTACGGTTGCAAAACGAACTCATGGAATAATGAGCATGGGAGTGTGTTTTTATGAGAAGCGCATCCAAGGAAATTTTTTAAACATATTGAAGAATATGAGGGTGAAATTGTACCAGTCTGGGCAAGGTTCAAAAACAGTCCTCCAAGTTTTCTGTTATAGTGTGTGAGAGGACAAACAGAAGGACAGAGGAGGCTGGTGGCACCTTTAACTGAGTGTGGACGTCAATGGATGTCAGGCCACTTCTCCACACACAGAGGGAGCGCAATCATCAGGCCATTGGGTTATGTACACCAGTGTTCCCCAACCTTGGGCCTCCAGATGTTTTTAGACTACAACTCCCAGAAGCCTTCACCACCACTTCTGCTGGCTAGGATTTCTGGGAGTTGAAGTCCAACAACATCTGGAGGCCCCAAGGTTGGGGACCACTGATGTATACGACACACCTGCTTTGGGTCCCTGCTAGCTGCCGATCTATGAGCAATGCCAATCTGGATACCCTTTGGGTTCCTCAGGGTGCTATTTCTGCATGCCCAAGAAACCTAGGCGCACCTGCTTTGGGCCCCTGCTAGCTGCCGATCGATCTATGAGCAATGCCAATCCGGATACCCTTTGGGTTCCCCGAGGTGCTATTTCTGCATGCCCAAGAAACCTAGCAGCCTGTCCTGGAGATAAGGGAAGTGCAAACCTTGAAGAGGTGAACTGGGAGGAGGATCCATTTCAGAAGATAACAGAGGGTTGTACGCCTCGGAGCCATTTAAAGCCAGTCTCTGCAGGAGAAGGCAAAGAGGAATGAGAAAGGTCCTTCGGTAGCATCAACCATGCCTGGATTGCCCACCAAGCCTACATCCTTCTGTTGTTTGAGTTTCTTCCTTCAGGCTTCATTTAGACGGGAAGATTCAGGTAGATGTGGAAAGGGTGAGGATTTGAATGCAGTTTTGGCTAAAATACCTGATCCATTTTTTTTAAGACACCAGCTGAGAAAATCCCTGAATTTAAATCCACGCTGATCACCAAAAATGAACAAAGCATGTCATGTCCAGGGTCTCTCTCTCTCTCTCTCTCTCTCAGAACTTGGAAATTTACTTTTATGATTAATGATTCTAATGATATGCTGTTTAAATTAGTATCGGATTAAAGAGAAAATATGCAGTAGGCTGTGGAAATGGGTGCACTCGTTTGTAGGGTTGTTATTTCAATTTCAATCCTGCATGTAATATTCTTTTACTTTTATTAGATTTTTACCCACCCACCCCCAGGCAACGACCACTCGGGGGTGGCTGAATATTCGCACTTTTATCTGGAGCAGACAGAAGAGCAGGGGTATATTCTGTCATTCCCTCTAATGGTCAGTTTAGAATATTTATCTCGTCAGTTAGGATTGGGGTTTTTTTTTAAAAAAATGACCACTAAAAATGCCTCAAAATGACCTTTAAATGTAGCTTTTGAAATTAGGTCACAACACTCATTGCAGCCAAAATAATTACTTCGTAACTACTTGTTATTTTCATTGTAACGTTGTCACTCCTTGCTGCATTATTTGCTAACTAAACAGTAGTATATTATAGGTAACATTGTTACTTGTAACTAGTAACGAGTAGACGTTGTCTAGAGGGGCGGGGTAAAAATTGAATAAATAAATAAAATAAAAATCAATAGTTCCTTCCAAACTTTGGAAAGTTGTGATGTACACTTTTACTTATGGATAGTAAGAATTGAAGGCTAGGACCTGAAATTTGTATATGGCAGGACTGGAGACATTGCGGTCTTCTGGTGTTGGTGTGAATTTCATTAGCCTGACAAAAGAGTTCGTGTGGGCTTTTAAGGAAAGGTGTGATGGAAATAATATAGAGATGAGGAAACCCAAGCACAGAGTATGGGGCGGGCGGCTTACCTGGGGCTTGGTTGATGGGTCAATGGGGTAATGACATACTTCACAAATGTCAATATCCTCAAGCCAGTCATCATCATAATCTAAACTGCAACAGTTACCCATAATGTCTGTAAAGAGGGAGAAAGAAGGCTTAAATAAGATACAAACAGGCCAACAGCAGAGACGTAAATGCTCTTGTCGCTCAAAGACGGCTTGGAGCAGATTAAAGCAATCAAACAAATAAATAGCAGCAACAAAACGGAAACCACGACACAACAGCTGCTGGAAAGTTTCTCAAAGGTATGCATGCAGCTGAGAAGGAAAGGAAGTATGGTGGCCACCATCCATGATGTCACAGGTACTAGCCAATACTTGCAACATATTACAGACATTACTCCAATCCACTGGGAATAAAGTCGATAGAATGGGAGGCTCTTATTTTTTTTATTTCCCCACCAAAGGTGAGGAAACCTAGGAGAAAAAGGGGGTATTCTCTCTCTCTCTCTCACACACACACACACACACACACACACACACACACACACACACACACACACACGTTTGCACAAACACAGGCAGGTGGGCAGGCAGGATTCACTCATGCAAAGGGTTTCTGCCTATGCTGAGCAGGCCGAGCTAATGACATATGCGCCATAGCATCCTCCCAATTGTTGGGTTGGCCAACAATTGGCAGTGCCCTTGATGCTGGAGATGATTGATAGCTACCAAGACCAATAGCTGTTGCTATCCTTGTTAAATTATGCACACATCAAGTCAGAACAAACCTATAGCAATCCTAATAGAGTTTTCAAGCTATGTGAAATATTTAAAGAATGGTTTTACTACCATGAATTTTTATGGCGAGCAGGGATTTGAACCCACTTCCCCTGAATCACAGTCAGCTACTCTATCCACTACACCATACCAGCTCTCCTATTGCTGTCCTTACCCAAAGATGTGCCCCACTGCCCACTGTTCAAGGGAGAGTCGCCTACCTTGAATTAATATATATATATTTCTCTGCTGGAAGATAACCATAGTTATTTTGGAGGAAAGAGGCCAAGACATCACAAACTGTGCAGCTCAGGTTGGCTATGAACTTGTGCACGAGCTAAACTTAGCATGTATATTTTCGATTTTGGAAAACATGAATATACATTTTGCTCTACATTCGGCCTTCCTCTCTTTCCCGACATTTGTATATCTGTGTGCATTTGGAGGAAAGCTCTCAGTTGACTTACAGGTAAGGTATGCTGAAATCAAACAAATGTAGAGCCCCAGTTCCCTGGAAAACAAAACTTCATAAAACTGTGAAACATAAGCTGAAGAGCCCAATGTTTACCCTAAACCTGTGCTTCCCGAATGTCTGTACATAAATGTTCTTGGCAAAAAATGGTCACAGCCCAATGCTAGGCTCAAACAAAATAATTTGCCCAAACAGAGCAAGAAAAATATACCAGATTTCCTATTAGCATCACAATTCCCCTGGGTTGTGTCCCCTTGTTTGTTTGCTAGTTTGTTTTCATTTCACACCCCCAAATGATCTTTTAGGGTTAAAAATCATGGCATCGTTTCTAATAAGGAGAGAAGGATGTCTGTTCCATGATTATTCCAGCCTTCACCCAGTCCAAACTCCTGAAAAATGCAAAAATGTGTATACAACAGTGCTTGCAACATAATGACCTCCCATGAAAAACAATGGGATGAGTTTATTGCATCCACAGTCAGAGGCTTGTTGTATTAATTAACAGGAAATAGCTGGGAGGAAATGGTTTTCAAACAGGACAATACTTCGGTAGGTCTGTGGATTTTTTTAAAGCAAAGTCAATGAGCAGGCAGTGAATTGTATAAGAGGTTGGACAGATCACCTGGTTATGTGGTTAATGCAGTGGTCAAGAGCAAAAACCCAGAGCCAAACAATATCATGAAAGCTTCAAGGCTAAACACATGGACGCCAGGAGGATGTTGTATTGAACTCGCTGGCCTCTCTCCAAACAACATGCATGAGCCCGGTGTACTTAGCTTCAAAGCATGATGATCATAATAAGGTCTGCCTACCTAAAAGACTTGTTGCAAGGATTAGAGCCAGGCAGAGTATATATCATACTCGCAGCATAATTTTAGTGTTGTTCACACATCCGAGTGAATTCTGTGGTGTTTGCTGTCAGAAAATTATATGGTATAGAGTGTTGGAGTGTGCCAACACAGCGCTATATCACTGCTAAATGTTGTTACTTTGATATTACATGACTAGCCATTATTGTATAGCATTTAGCACTTAAATCTACATGATTCCTTCGTTTATTGAACCCTTATTACCACTACCACCTCACCCTTTTTTTCTGTCTTTCCGCCTTCTTCTGTTTTAATTTCCCCTAATGTCTCTTAACTCTTATCGGTGTGTAGCAATACAGCTGTTTAGTTGACCCCATATGAATACACAAAATATTTGGCATTTATGGATTTAATAAAAATACTGAGATATCACACGTAAATGCATATCTGCATCTGTTTTTTTAAAAGGGAGAAATGCAAATGGCTGTCTTCAAGACTTATGTGCCTCCTTTAAAACAAAATAAAAGCAAAGTTGATCCATCTGTAGCCTGTTTTTCAAGGCCCCAAGACAATTGATAATGAAATAATGACATTAAGTATAAACATTGAAGCAACAAGAAAAAATCATCCTATCAAATGTATGTAAACCATAAAAAAAACAAGGTTAGTTTGCTGCTAAAATATTTAGAGCTCTAAGTCCAGTCTCTCTTTTAAAAAAAGGTCTTCAACTGTCCACTAGAAAAAACAGCATGGTATAGTGGACACAGCATTGGTCTCAAACTTGTCCTGGGTGCAAATCCCGCTCTCTCTCCCCCTCCCATAGAAACATAAGGGAGCTGTCCATAATAAACCTCTTTTTGCACATCTCAAGCACTTTGCAAACTCCTCATCACCATAACTAGCATCACCATAACTAAGACACGACTGGATGCCAGAAAACAATAAGAAAAAAGGGAAGGAATGATATTAAGCTTGGTGGAGTTCCAAGATTTGCAGAAATGGAGCAAACCCAACCTAGGGTTGAGAAACAGGGTCTTAGAACCCCCTTCTTCGTTCTTCATCTCTTACCTGTCGATGGGGGCAATGGGAAGAAGCAGGTTCTCTGCGGTTCCTACGTCTTGAAAAGGAGGGAAGGCCCTTTCTCTTCCCATACAGTAGAGTTAATCCATTTTTTTGTTTGGGAGTGGGGACAGAGCCCTCTACCCCGTGGGGGGGGGGGAGTCACAAACAGACGCCCTTTTCTCTCTTTCTTTAAGCCTCTCTTTCTCTCCCTCCTGCCACCTGCCGAGGTGCTGGTTTCCTGTCCCCTGAGCGCTTTGCACAGACGGGCGCTAGAAGCTCGTTCTCAGTACTGGCTTGACCACAAACAGTTCTAAAGCAGCGAAGGCAACCCAACAGGGTTTCCTGCCAACTTCAAACCCCTCCCTGCTGCTCTGCACCTCCATATCTAGATGGTGTAGAGGACCCCGTGTAGAGCACGGGACCCAGATGTGTCAGAGCTGCAGCCTCCTCTCACTGGACGGCGTTGTTAGGATCCTTCCACGCATCGCTCTGCGGCAGTCATCTTGACTTCAAAAACCAATGCTGGGAAGGGAGAAAATGGCAAACCTTAATCTCAGATCTATGCTAGACCATCAGTTCCATGACCCTTCGACAAGCGTTAGGGCTCTATCTTATGGGGTTTGTAGTTGGACAAGGAGATTCAGACTCTGTGCTCTAGGGCAGGCCTTCTCAAACTGGGGTCTCTCCAGATGTTCTTGGACTGCAGTCCTCAGACGCCTTCACTACTTGCTTGGCTGGACAGGATTTTTGGGAGCTGCAGTCCAAGAACATCTGGGGACCCCAGCCTGCAACCACTGTGCACTTCTCAGAACCAAAGTAAAGAATTCCAGGTGTTTTGACAGACTAGGAGGCCCAGCCACCCATAGGATGGAAAGAACCAAACAACTAGGGTCCTGTAGTGCCGGCAACACTCATCCTGCCATGCCAGGCTATTCACTTCCTCTCAGCTTCGTTTACTCAACACAGCACCTAGTGTTTCTTGTTCACAGCAGCAGATGGAAGAAAGACATCATTTGCAAAAAAAAATCTGCTCTAAAAAGTAATTAACGCTTTTCCTTCCTTGCACAGATTGAGAAGTAACTCTCTTTTTTTTTACTCATTGGCTAAAATCCAGGAGTAAATGGCAACTTGAGTAGGCCCACCAAATCCACGGAACTTAAGGAAGAATTGACTCACCAGATGCCTGCTGATTCAATGGACCTACTCTAATTGCAGCTTACTCCCGAATTTCAGCCACTTATGAGTAGTGTCACTTGTTACACTGACTGATTTTTTCAAACCTGAAAGATTGGCTGAATGCCAGCTAACACTAACACAGCTTCCAATCCTAACTGTTGGCTACCCATTATGTCAGTTTCTGTCCAGATTAGTAAATAAAGAGAAGGCAGAAGAAAAAGGTATTTTCCTTTCTTTTCTTTTCATATTTGGGAGGGGGAGGAAAGGGGGAAAAGATGAATCATGGGGAGTTTCTTTTGTATTAACAGTGAATGTATTCTTTACAGACCTATTGTTTCAGTATAAAGTCAAAGAACCACAGGCATTTTGCTAACCTTTTCGGAAAGCACTCATACAAATGAGTCCGTCTAGCAAAGTAAGTGGTGAGGAAATAGCATGAAAAAAGAAGAGAGAAAAAAAGACCCTTTGAAGAAACAACAGAATCATTACAGAACAGAAATAAAGAAAATCCATGATCTCCTTTTAGCCAACAATTACAGACCAGCCTTATTGTTCTTGTGGAACACCCCTACATTCTTTATAATCTGGTAAAACACAGCACAATCTGCAGAACTCCAGAATTCGCAAACCTGATGTCTCCCATGATATGTCCTGCTATTTAATAAGTTTATTAGAGGCATATGACCTGCTCAGATACATGTCAAAGCAACCTATACACCATACAAAGAACACAGGAAGTTTTAAAAAAGCAATAAGTTATCAGGCACCCTTCCAATAAAGGGTGCTGGGACTAATTCCTGGTTTTTGCCTGTCTCTAACACATTAATCAATCAGCCAGAGACAGAGAGATCCTATAGATATTTGTTTATTTTCAGCTGAAAGCAAGCAAACAGGTGCATACTTCACATGCAGAAGATATGCAGAGAAGCGCATCCCCAATACAAAAGTATACATAAGGCATAACATGAAAGAAGAACTAAGGGGGTTGGGTGGAGGAGAAGTAATGGGAGGGGATTCTATAATTGGTACAAATTCCTGCATGAGCTTAGCTTTGGCAATCATTCATTTCTTAGTGTCAGATGCCCCACTTCCCAAGGATGGACTTTTAATTTAGAAATACCTTAATTGTAAATTGGAAGAAACTCAGGCAGGCGCCCCCTCCTCCCTTGTTCATTCTTGCCTTCCTAAGCAAAATGCTCATACTATAGCGTAGCAAGTTATATTTTATATGTATAAACTGGACCCCTTCATAACCAAGGGAAATGTTGCTTAATAAATGTGAATCTAACTTGGCAATTGGTTCTTCTGCTCTCTTCAAAAGATCTTTTGACAGCCTGTTTCATTCTTTTTTAGAGTTTATGCCGACTGCCTGCTGTCTCCGAAATGGAATCTCGTCATTGTTCTTCCATTCTTGGCTTGACCATCCACCGGGGAGGAGATGTGATGATCTGTTTATTCCCGCATGAGTTAATGTCCAAGAGAAAACCTTGCAGGATACGCCCGGCGGATCTCACCTTCTTGACTTCCTCTCTCTCTCTGCTCTTATTAAACTCAGTGTTTACCCAATGTTTGCCCACTTTGTTGCTTATCAGCAGGGATTAGAGGAGGCAGCAGAGATAGGAGGAATGAACAGACCTAGCTTCCCTTGAGCCAGAGTTTATTAGCACAGTAGGGCAAAAAAAGGAGGATTTTTTTTTAAGCACAAGGGAGAATGGATCTTGATTTAAAGCAAAGTTTCACTCTCAGAAACTGCTTTAAAATAAGATAATAAGTTGCCCCTACAGGCCCTGATTTTCAGAGGACGATTTTGCCACTAGCACACGTTCTGAATTTTGTCCATGAAAAGCTTACTTATCAATTCCTGGCAGGGTTCCAGCAAGGCATGGCAATTTCAGTGGATCTCCTTAGACCCATGCCAAGGCGTTCCTACGTCTAGAATCATAAGACACACTCCTACAACAACTTTCTAAAAGTGCATCATCTTCTAAAGACATTCTGACAGTCGTTCAGCTTCAAACTGCATAGCCGGGAATAGCTTCTATGAGCAAAGGCGACTAAAGCAGATCAGATGTTGAAAATAATATGACCAAATACTGTTATGAAAACAATGTGTTTGATAGGCTGGAAATCAATTTTCCACTTCTCTTTCAAATTCTTCTCTCCACCAACCGTGACTTGAGTTTTCCTTTCATCTATAAACAAACAATTTTAAAGAAATGTGTTCTTTGCCAAAGTTGATAATCATCTGCAAACCCATCTGGGGGAGAGGGAGAAAGTGATAGGAGTCATGTCAGGGAGGGAGAGAAGAAAAATAGATCTTTCCACGGATAGGACTGGAAAAAAGCAATCATCTGCTCAACACGAAAGCTGTTAATACTTGTGTAATGATATTGTATTTGAAATTGCCTCTTTCCTCTAGATCCATGAAGCAGAGACCTCACTCAACCCAAACAAAAAGCATTCTCCCTCGGTTGTTGGTATACCTCAGGGTGCTCACATTACCAGTGGATTTACAAATTGCCCCTAGAGAAGACCTATTTGAATCAAGGGAACTTACATAGGACTTGACTCACCCAATTCCTGCTGATTCAGTGGCCCAACTCTAGTCGTAAACAGGTTTAACAGAACTTCAGCCAATGTGCGGGTTATTTCTGAACATCATGACGGCACTGTGTGGCTGCATTTTATAAAGGGACACTTGACATTGTCCTAGTGTTTATTTATTTATTTATTTCAAACATTTTTACACCACCTTTTTTTCTTTAAAAAGGGTGCGAGGCGGCTTATGTCACTTGAAGGCAAAATGAAAGCTAACAACAGTGAGTATACAAATACTAAAAAGGATCAAACAAATGGCATACAAATTAAAAAAGAAAAAAAATAAGCAACACCAAAACGCATTCAAAGCAGAAAGAGACAGCAATACATTTAATTTAAAAAAAAAACACTCAGGCAGCTTGAGGGAAAGCTTGCCTGAAGGGAAAGTTCTTTGCCTGCCTGTAGAAGGATGGCCAAAATGGGTCCAGACTGGTCTCCAGTGGGAAGGAGTTCCAGAGTCTAAAGGAGAAGCCACCGAGAAGGCCCTTCTCCATCTTCATCCCCACCTTCTGTGTTTGCGTGTGAATTACTTACTCAGCCTTTAACTTCTAAGCAACAGATGCTACAGAACAACGTTCAAGTCTTTCTAAAGACTGCACCTGGCAATGAACAAAAATCCGACTGAAGGCAGAAAAATATTGTACAAATTGTGTCGAGATCACACGGCTTATGATTTATTAGTTGGTTGGTTGGTGACGTTTTTTACCTGCAGAGCCTTCGCGGAGCAACGATACAGACTAAAAATTCACAAGGACATCATGCACACAACAGGAGCAACAGAGAGAGATGGAGAGCGAGAGACAGAGAGAGAAGAAAACGCAGATTAAGAGGGAACATAAAAAACACGCATCTGAAAAGCCTCTTCAGGGCCTGACCCTCCAAACCATTAACAAAAACATCCCCCCAGTGAGACTCTTTACAAGCATGGAACTCAAATCAGCAAAAAGCTTTCAAGCCAAGATGTTTAAAGAGTGCTTTTATCGGTTCTACAGCAACAGTGAGTTTCCATAGCTGAGGAGAGATTTGAACCCAGGCCTTCTGAGACCTAGTCCGTCCCTCTATCCCTCACACCACACTGGGTATCCCTCCCCTCACAATATACCCTTTGCTAAAGTCCACGGGCATCAAAGCAAGGCACAAGATGGAGCCAAGCCCGTCAGCACAGGGAGAAGCGTCGAGAGTTGATGTTCATGCGCGTGACGCCAATGTGCTTGAGGGGACTGGACAACAGGAAGGCCATTTTGGGCGGGATGTTACACAGCAGGTCCGAGTCTTCTTCGCAGCCCTCCAGTTCAAAGGTGGCGTCGTCCAGCATCTCCTTGTGCTGGTGGCAGGCCTGCTCCACTTTCAGCCGGTGAATCTGAGCCCGGAGGGACATCAGCTGCCGAGCTAGCTGGTGGTCTAAGGCTTGCATCTCACTCTGGGCAGAACGAGAAGGACAGCAGAGGATGAGAAACAAGGCCCCCATGTCCGGAACTTCTTCTCCATCTCTGGAGTAAAGTTCTCACTGAGGTGGTTATCCTGCACGCATATCCTCAAGCACATCACAAGGTAACACAGAACTATGCCTCCTGGTACCCCAATTCTCCTCGCATTACCTGATGCATATGCACACACTACACTACACCTTTTCGATTATTTCACATGGCTGAGGCTCTCCTCCACCTTCTGGAAGTTTTCCTGATATCCAAAGGAATCCAGATTCAGGCTGAATATCAGGAAAAACTTCTGAACTGTTAGAGAAGTACGACAATGGGACCCATGACCTTGGAGGGTGATGACCACGCCAGCGCTGGAAGCATTCAAGAGAAATGTAGACAACCCTCTGTCGGATCTGCTTTGATTTGGATCCCTGCCTTGAGCAGGGGGTTGGACTTGATGGCCTTCGGGGGGCCCTTCATGGTTCTAGGTTTCTATGATCCTGCAGTTCTCACCTTCCGCCAGCTACAAAGACAAGAAGGATGGGTTGCTACCTTGGTGTGGTTGGATCGATGTCAATCCCTATTGACATTGACCGGCAGCAACTTTTCGAAGTCTGAGGATGTTTTCATTGCGTGTCTTAGCTAGAAATACCAGACCTTGAACCTGGAATGTTTTGTTTGCTAAGCATGTGTCCGACCACATGGAAAAAATTGACTTGGTTAAATATATACCAAGAAAAACGTCATCGCTTTACGGAGGTTAGTAAGAGTTGTCCTAACATGCATCATTTTCTTCCCCTTGTCGCAGCTTAAGCAACCCATAGGCAGACTTAGGCTGAAGATCAGGAAAAACATCTTAACTGTTAGAGCAGTACGACAACGGGACCCGTGGCCTCATGGGGAGGTGGTGAGCGCTCCGTCACTGGAGGCATTTAAGAAACATTTAGACAACCAACCACCTGGCAGATCCGCTTTGGCTTGAGTCCCTGCCTTGAGCAGGATGGGTTGGACTCGGTGGCCTTACATGGGCTCCTTCTTCCAACTCCATGACTCTAAGATTCTAGGACAGGACTTCAGAGAAACACCAACGGGACTTTCCTTGTAGGCAAACAGCAATGAGGTGGCTTTCTTCCCACCCTGTGAAGCTTGCCTTTGTGCAACACGTGACTGTCAGGGAAGGAGGGTTCCGTCCCTCCCTGCTGCCTTGGAGAGAAGACCTTCGGACCCTGGTCTGGCCATATCCAGGTACCCCCCCCTCCAAGAAGTGATGAGAGGAGCTACTCACCAACTCCTTTCTGAGCCACTCAAAGGCATCTCTCATGGTAGAGAACCCGCATATGGTCTTAAGGGGCACCTGATGGTCCTTCTGGTGGTCCTCTGTGGTGGTTGCCTCCTCCACCTGCTTCTCTTGCAGGGTCTTGAGAGCACCTTCTCTGAGGCCGTTCCTCCAGGACGGGCTTTGCACCCGGGCTTTCCATTCGAGGTACGAAGGCCGACGGGTCTGTAGCTTCAGTTTCGCGGTCAGCGCTTTGACACTGTCCAGGTTCTCTTCTTCTGAGTTCGATTCCTCTTCTCCCAGCTCCTTGAACGTCACCAGAGACATTGCGGAGGTACCTTGATCAACAGCCTTCTCGGCGGGAAACAGACCAGCTCTAGATCCACACGCCAGCTATATATACATGCATCACTGAAAGCTGTTTATTCGTGGAACAATAAAGGCCTTGGAATCAAGGGGAGGGAAGCAGGAACTTTAATTACCCAGAGGTTAACAGCAGAGCCTTAAAAATAAAAATACAGTATTATTGTCTCCAGCTAGGCGGAGACACCCTGTTCTTTGAACGGAAGTTTCAACGAGGACATGAAAGACAGCAAGGGTGTAAACTTTATCCTGTGAAGTCATTTATCCCCCGAGTGTTCCTTCCTCCCCTGGCTCTGTTATCTGCAAAGAAAAGGGATCCTCGTGGATGTCCGTCCACCCAAAGCCTCAGGTTGGAGGGAAGAGTGAAAGGTCACCCCAGCAGATTTGGGGGGGGCAGCGTTTAATTAATGATGACAGGCAAAGCCAATCATGGGAAGATGAGGTTTACGATTCATGCCCAGATTAAGGCAATCACCTGCTATCGTCTTATGGGTCCATTATCTTACAAGTGTTCTCTGAGCAGCCCTGCATTGCTCCGCTCTTTGAACGACAAGAAAAATTACAGCACAGCACAGCGCCACCTGCTGATGGGCTCGAAAAATAGCTCTTTGATGCACTTCAGGGCACTGCAGCGCTGTCCAGTTAGCTCCAACGCATTTTGAATAGCACAAGCACTGGTTTTATATGTAATCTATGCACAGATACAGGTGGTAAAAGCGGCCACCATTACGGGAACTTTGAGAGTTGTCGTAGTGGACAGATCACGGGCCCCCTTCGCTCAGTATATACACTGATAGGCAATCAAGGCTCTCCAGCTTTTCAGCTGGGTTTTTTTTCCAGGAGATGTTGGGATCCAATCCGAGACTGAAAGCAGAGTCTCTTCCCTGGGATCTTTTCCTAGACTGACAGGAAAAGGCATTGCCATATTCACACCGAAACCGGGGTTGGCCCTACCTAGGGTCTATCGATTCAAACATTTCTGCAGGTCAACAGATACTCAATAATGGCTGCCACCCAAAAGTGTTAGGAGGCTTTTTAAAAAGTCAGATCAAGTAAAGAGGAACGGCCGTGAGTCACGATGAGCCTCCTCTGGCTTCAGATTGTAGAAAGTCAGCTAGGCCAGGCAGTTCCCGCAGTAACAAAACCTGAGGCAATGTGGCAGCACTAAAACTAACAACTGGATTTCGTCGCAAGCGTTTCTGGATAGAAACTGATTTTTTCGTATGCATGGAGCATGATGGCCGGTCCACAGCTTTACATGACATACCACAGCACATATAAATCCGTGTCCCAGATATTGTGCTCCACAGGTGGAATGCAATGTGCAAAAGTTCCACACTGAAATAAAATTGTGAGTCTCAGCAGTGCCACAGTATTTCTGTTGTTGTCCCTCCATGTTCAGCAACGATGTCTCTTGGGGTCTTGTTTCCAACCTCGCTTGCCGTCTGTAGGCGATTGTCTATCTATCCAGCAGTAACCGAATGTTCATTCCAGCTTTTGCCATTCAAAGAGAGCCCTGCCTCTCTGCTGAGTGTTTCTTTCCCTCTCCTGAATTGGTTGGTGGCAGTGGTTGGTTACTGTTGATCTGTTCAGTTGGTTACTAAATATGGTTGGTGGAAATGGTTTGTTGCTGTTGATCTGTTCAGTTGGTTGCTAAATATGAGTGCACTTTAAAAAAAAGAATATGCACACATCTGTAGTTTTAAGCAACTGTAAGTAATTTTTTTTTTGCCCTGTCCGCCTCCCATATTAAGATTTGGCATGATGTTCTAACCTGGGACAGATTGCAGGGGTGTAAACACTGAGGGGTTTCTTAATATTTACTGTGCTTTTAAGGAGAAGAACTGTATCACCTTATCACCTTTACGAAATACCTGCACTATTATTTCAACATGTTTTTTTGTGTGTTCTTTCAATCCAGATTTTAAAAATTAAATTAAAAAAGAGGAGAGAATGTGTGAAAGATCACTCTGATTCCCCCCCCCCTTTTTTTTTGGATGCATAAAACAGCAGCACCCAATTGACAGACCTAGTCATCATTCTTTAGAAAGAAAAAAAAACGTTTTAAAAAAAATTCCGTACTACCATGTCCAGAATCACCCAGCCAGCTCAGACCACTTGGGGGCTGTAGTCCAAAAGCATGGCATCAAAACTCTGGCTGCAGGTAGAATCAGTCCCTGCTTTGTTCTCTCTCTCTCTCTCTCTCTCTCTCTTTATGCGTTTCCTGCTTCTTTTAGACATTTGTCTCCTGCCTGTTGGTGAGACAGCCACCTTGGAGCGAAGCCCCAACGCTGTGAGGCATGACTTTGAAGCCAGCCCATCGAGGGACCCCACGCCTAGACTTCAGCTGAGCTTTTGGGGCAACCGGCCACAGCCAGAGCCGTGGGCCAGCTCTTATCTTCTAAAGTCCGTGGCTTCTTAGCTGCTGCTGCTGCTGCTGCTGCTGCAGTACCGGGATACCGCATTTAAGGTGGAACAGAAGGTCCGAAGGGACAAAGGCAGAGAAAGGGGGCCCTTAGAGAAAGGAGAACAACCCAGCAGGACACAGTCAAATAAAGGACACCGAGGGACCAGCACAACAACATCTGAATCCCCCAGAGTTGCAAACCCAGAGGGATAGCATCAAAGAAGCCTGTCGCCTTCCAGTCACCATCCTGGTTGGTTCTTAACGTCCGCATAGGCATACTGTACTGTATATGTGCAGGAGGCTTTGATCTCAGATGGGCAATTAAGAGCTGTTCACTTTGCAAAAGACCTGTTCCTCATTTGTTGACGAGGACTGATCCAGCTGCCTGATCTTTGGGGAACCTGTCCAGATGTGTGCCAGCATTTCCAGATTTATCATTACACATATTTCTGACTTTTCCTCTCTGTATAGCTATGCAGTGCAGCCTGGGGTTGCTGGATCAAATGATAAGCAAGGGCTACGACATCACCAGTTGTATATATGCACATATACCGTACAATATGCAGATCATGATTTTAAATTGAATCTTTTCTCAATCTAACTATACCTTTTTGAGAAGTTCCTTATTTAGTTCCAAGGGATGTGACTTGACACAGAACTGCTGTATATATACCTTTTTGAGAAGTTCCCTATTTAGTTACAAGGGATGTGACTTGACACAGAACTGCTGGATAGCTCAGTGGTTTAGGAGAGGTAGGGAGTTTGATTCCCCACGACGTCTCCTTGAGAGGGACTGGACCCGATAGATAATCCAGAGGGTCCCTTCCAGCATCTCTGGTTTTAAGAGGATGATGACTGTCCAAAATAATGTTTTGCTTTGCTTTCTCTCTGGGTTTCGGCAGGAGACTTAAGTACTGGTGCTCAACCCTTCCCCCCCCCCAGAAATCCGTATAACTTGGCCAGCCTTCCTTTCCAATGCATTCAAGATTTAAAAAAAAACAGCCAGCTAGTTTTGCTGCACATCAGGCTGGTTATCAGCTGGCGGGAAGACTCTCTTGTGCTCCAGAGTTTTCTTTCTTGGGATCTTGAGACACCCTTGTCCTCGCCGTCTGTTGAGAGCTAACCAGGCACTGAAAGACAGATTTAAAACTACTTTGCATGTTGTTATCGCTCTGGCGGTTATCTGAAATCTTCACAGCTCTCTCCGAGCCCCATGGCAGTGGGAAAATAAAATAAACAAAAATGAAAAGCAAATCCACGCCATCCAGACGACCTTAAGCCCAACATCCTCTCTCCTTCGCTCGCTCACTCTTCTCAAGCCTCTCCCACATTCAGTTCCTCTTGCTGTGTTTCACAATCAAAGATCCAGGACTCTTCAGCTGCCAGGCAGTTCTCAGAGACCAAACAGCTGTTGAAGGAGTTTTCAACGGCTGGACATTAGTCTTGCCCCCACGGAAGGCTCTGTTACATATTAAGAGGCAGTCTTCCTCTCCCTCCCACCCCTCAATGTGGTCCTTATCACGAAGTGCTTGATCCCGGATCTGTGTCAAGCCAGTTCCCCTGCAGATCCTGGACTTGAACTGGAAACGCAACAGCTGTCAGGTAAGGAATGGGGATCTGGCACGAAGCCGTTTGCAGAAATTGCTATTTTTTTCCTCCAAATCCCAAAATCTGTTTAGCAGTTCTCTGGTGTCAGGACTGGGAGAACACACACACCCCCCCGTTCCACATTTTGGGAGTCCCTGCCAGCCCAAAGAGGGAACAGTCCAGATGGACACATGGTCTGACTGCAGCTTCTTTAAACTCACATAAACCCAACGAGGAGCAACGGGCCTTTGTGTGTGTGTGTGTGGTTCTCTGTCAAAAAAGCAGACATCCACTGGCCTACCTTAAAGGGTTGTGATTTATTTATTTATTTATTCAATTTATACAAAAAAACAGACATGCACTGGCCTACCTTCTAGGGTTGTGATTGTGCTAAGGGTTACAGAGAAATAAGAAGTGCACAGCTGGCAACCGCAGGGGCCCATCGGGTTAAACACCATCTGTGCAAATGCTAGCAGGCAATACTTATTTTGTGAAAAGTTGTACCTTTTCCAGCTGTGCTTGATGCAGCTGACAGACATGCACTGGCCTACCTTCTAGGGTTGTGATTGTGCTAAGGGTTACAGAGAAATAAGAAGTGCACAGCTGGCAACCGCAGGGGCCCATCGGGTTAAACACCATCTGTGCAAATGCTAGCAGGCAATACTTATTTTGTGAAAAGTTGTACCTTTTCCAGCTGTGCTTGATGCAGCTGTGGGTTCTAAGGGTTACAGAGAAATAAAAAGTGCACACCTGGCAACCTCAGGGGCCCATCGGGTTAAACACTGTCTGTGCAAATGCTAGCAGGCGATGCTTATTTGGTGAAAAGTTGCACCTTTTCCAGCTGTGCTTGATGCAGCTGTGAAATGCACACCGCAGCCTGGTTTTGTCTCCTGGATAGTCAACAATGCTGTCCACAGAGCACACCGCAGCCTGGTTTTCTCTCCTGGATAGTCAACAATGCTGTCCACAGGCCATGTGTTGTCACACACACACACACACAAGCACCCTGACATTCCACAATGGGCAGCTTTGTTATGGGTGTTTTGGTTTGTTTTTTATTTTTTATTATTATTATTATTTTGAGGGGGGGTTCACATCTTTGGGAAGCCTGAAGGGTGCGAAGAAAGTCTTCTGGTCAGACCAGACGCCGGTAAAACAGACCCTCTTACTGGGAACATTCTCGATAGCTATACAAAACTGTTTATTTTTAGTTATGTGCCTCCTGCTTTTTGATTTTAAAATGTTGTTGAAGGCCAAAAACGTGGGAAAACAATAAAACCCACCATTGGCGTTAGTAAAATAAACACACATAAACCTAAAAGTATTATTAGATATTCTTGCGAGGGGCAGTTCTCGGACCAAGCCACTGGGGATTTCCCCTTCCTTTTCTGCGGCCAGGACCTCCGTTGCTCAAATTACAAACCCACCCCAGGTTTATTGCTGCTGTCCCCTCTTTGTTCCTGGGCTTCTAAGCAGAAAGGTCGCAGTTTTCAACCTGTTATTTTATAAAGAGGTGCATAGGATTGAGGTGCACATTTAAGGGAAGCTTTCTCTCTCCTTCGATCTCCCTGCACCCGTTCTGTGGCTTTTGATTCTCTTCTTGAGCTGTTGCAGTTTGGGTTCCTTTAGGGAATCAGTCCATTTCCTATTGGGTTTTCCTCTTTTCCTTCTGCCTTCCACCCTTCCCATCATTATTGTCTCTTTCAGGTAATCCTGTCTTCTCAGGATGTGCCCAAAGTAGGACAGCCTCAGTTTCCTCATTTTTGCTGCCTCCAGAGATACCTGAGGCTTGATTCAATCTAGGACCCCCTTGTTCATCTTTCTGGCCATCTAAGGTATGCACAAAGCTCGCTTCCAGCACCCACATTTCACTTACCATTAAAAAAAAATTAAGGAGTAAAAAAAAAAAGAATTGCTACAGCCATGCCTTGCGATTGATAGCATAAAGAGATGTTAAAAATTCTAACCTGTGTAGCATTCCTGACCTTTTGAGGAGGTGGAAAATGGGGGAGATGGTACTGGTTCTCCCAAACCCCCAAAAGTTGGTTTGCAGGGGTCAGAAAGAAGCCACAAATGCAACAGTGTGAGAGCACAGGTGCACTATTGAAATGCATATAATGTATTTGATGCTTTGTCCTGCACTTCGCTTCTCTGACGCTGGCTGCCACTCACAGCTGGTACTGCTGCTGCTGTGTTATTTTTAATAATTTTGTATGTTTTTTTCTTGAAATCTGGCCTAGTGCTAGCACAGAATAAGAGATAGGGGGAAAAAAATTAAAACAGACTTTCCGTGAAGCCCAAGGGGTGCGCACAAGGGGTGGAGAAGAAGAGGAAGCAAAGGGGCGAGGTTGAAACTGACCAGAGATATTGACTAGGATTGCAGTCAACTTCACAAATGATTTAAAATAAATGGCCCTGTGAAATACCTCACTTTCCAACCAAAAAAACTACCCAGGCAAAAATGAAAGCAAAAATAAATATCTGCACCCTTTTGTCCACTGGCATGACCTTTGGGGCCAAAGAGTCTTTTAACATTATGATTTTTGGCTTCCCAAACCTTTGAAGCCAGAGAGCTCTTCCCATAACGTTGTCAACACAGTGATCTTTTTTTGTTTGTTTCTGCCTCTACTTGTTTTTTCCCATTTTGATCTTGTAAACTGCCTTGATTCCCAGTTCTGGGGGAAACAAAGCCTATAAATTCAGTCAGATCTTCTCTAACCCATCACAAAATGTATTAAATGTTACCTGGCCTGTCTTATCTGAAATATATGAGCCAAATGTTAAGCTGGGAGGTTTAGGAAATTTTCATTTCTTCCATTTTGGAAGGATTCCAAGAACTCTTTTTGGAATTTTGGAATGGTTAAACATTTATGGGTGAATTCAAGTGAATTCAAGATTTACACTCTCTCTCTCTCTAACCCATCACAAAATGTATTAAATGTTACCTGGCCTGTCTTATCTGAAATATATGAGCCAAATGTTAAGCTGGGAGGTTTAGGAAATTTTCATTTCTTCCATTTTGGAAGGATTCCAAGAACTCTTTTTGGAATTTTGGAATGGTTAAACATTTATGGGTGAATTCAAGTGAATTCAAGATTTACACTCTCTCTCTCTCTCTCTCTCTCTCTCTAATGTAACTCCACAGATTTGTTGACAGATTTGTTGACATTATTGTTCCGGAGACAATCAGAAAGTGTCCCCACCCAGTCCCTTAACTTAGCAACGATCTCACAGGATGATCAGCAACAGAGAGAAAACAAAAGTTGATGACCTGGTGATGAAGACAGGGTAGAGTAATGTTGCTGGATTTGCAAACAGCAGATTAAAAAGAGGAGCCCCCCACCCCACCCCTGGCCTCCTGTCACTGCTGGCTTTCCCAGTCTTTAACCTTCTGGAAAGATGGTGTGCCATCTGAGCCCTCTGAGAATGTGGGTGAAGACCGTGTTTTCTGTTTTGCCATTGGGAATAGCAGTGGGTGTAACAACGCACTCCTGCAACAGGGAGACACACACACACACACACCGCTCAGGCACTCAAGAGTCATTTGTAATAGTGGAGAATGCGTGAGAAGCTCTCTAGCAGAGAAATCAAAGGACCTGTGGCAAACGCCAGTTCGCAGACATGGGAGATGGGGAGGGTATCAAAATGATTTAACTTTGCACGGCAGATATGCCTGTTGAGCACAACCCACCAGGGGAAAAGACAGAAATGCATGCTCTTGTGATCCATCATGGTGTGTAGTTCGAAACAGAGGAGAGGGGAGCATCTGCTCTCGGGGGGGTGTGTCGATGCACTTTTATCCCTAGCATGTGCTCCTGCCGTGTCTCCTAGGGTGACAGCTTCGGCCGAGAGACTTCCTCTGACCTCCGATCAGTCCCCCCCAAGACACTCTGGATCCCAATCCGTTGTGACTCCTCGAGGGGCCCCCGCCTCCCGCTGCCATGGAGTTTGCAGAGCTGATCAAGACCCCCAAGGTGGACCACGTGGGGCTCACGCGCCCAGGGTTGCCTCCGGTCACGGGGACCCTTTGCATCACCAGCCATCACATCCTCTTATCGTCTCAGGCGGGAGGAAGTGGGGAAGAGAGTCAGATGGAGCTGTGGCTTCTTATTCGCAACGTGGACGCCGTTGAGAAAAGGTGAACGGGTCCGTTCCACCCACCCTAAGTTCTTTTCTGACTGAGCCCCATTTCCATGATGCCAGAGTGACCTCCCACGCCTATGCCACCTAACCCAAATAAACATGGCAAGGCTCATGCTGCCAACCCAAATCAGATACGTTGCCCTCTTCCCTTCGGCTACTTCACAAGTTAAGAGAAAGCTTTCCTAAAACTGATCTCAGAGCTAGGCTTTGAATAACTCCACCCTTGCCTGGCCCAGACCAGACGGGCTGGGGCATTTTGAACCTGTCGTCCAGAAAGGAAACATTGCCACACAATGAGCAAGGGCTTTTTCAGAACTTGACTCTCTTGGCTGCAGTTTAAAGTGAGCCTCTCGACCTGAAAGACAGCTGCCTGGGCGATTCAGCCTCCCAAGGAGGAGACTGCCAATGCAAACATCAATACACACACCCATGTGTACTTTCCCAGGGAGATCAAAGAGGGAGGTCAGGGAAAAGAGAATGCGGGCCAAAGCATATCTTTAGAGAAATTGTATCTAGAAGGGGTGCTCCCTCATCTGGCAAAAAGGATATAATTATGAAAACACAACTAGATCAAAAACATGTGCATAATCTGTATTATCTCTGACATATAATGGCAATGTTGTTCCTTTTCCCTGTTCAAATGTCAGATGACCATTTTTTCCCCTAACCCAGTTTCTGTGCTCTGTAATCTGCAGCCTGATAGATGAAAACTGAGCAGCTGGTTCTCACGCGCCCTAAATGACCTTAGGAGATCTCTATCTGCTTAATGTCTTAGTGTCTGTCTATGAATACCATAGCATTAAAAGTGGAGCTCCCTTGAGAAGCAAAGTCTACCTTAGCACGAGACTAACAAGACTAAGACTAGCCCCTTCCCAGGCTGCAACTGACCTTGCTTTTATTTTGTGATTACTCATCAGGACGCAAACAGGGGGGTTATTTGTGAGCCTGATTGCTCCAGCGTGGAGCTCTAAAGGAATTGCGTATCTGGAGGGACAAAAACGCAATCTGCTTTTAATTGCGAAGCTGGTATCTTGAACAGCTTCATTTCCCAATCTCAGGCTGCTGTGAAAGACACAAAATTAGTGCCGAGGAGAAAGGCAGCCACCGTCCTTGAACGTTTGCTTTGCCAAATGAACTCCAAATTGTCCGAGCAGGTGGCTTGGTAGAACAGACCCGGGTTGCTTGGCGGTTGGCAGCGGGGGGCGGCGGCTAAACTAACCTTTCACACCTGCAGGATGGCGCTAACCTCTTTTCTTTCCTTCCTCTTGACTCTCAGTGTTCAGAATCTAACTTGGTATCAAAGCGCCGGGACTAACGGATCTCGAGAGACCAGGTTTGCCTTTTAAACCCATTTCAAATCACACGGCATGGCAGCTTCGAGAATCCCCAGTTGTTTCAGCCGACAGCTTTCTGCTTGCTGAAGAAGCAGGGTGGTGGGGTGAAGGCAAAAGAGACAATATATCCCGTGGTCTTGATAGGTGTCCAGTTGCAGACCGTATCAACCACCGGAAGGCCATGTCCTCACGCTTTCCTGGTGCATTAGGTGTTCTTAGAAATGTTTCCAGTAACTGGTCTGTTACAGTGGCCCATGTAAAAAGAAAACAAAACAGCACTGTCCGCCCATTCAAAGGGACCCAGGACCTTCTGATACATGGTGGGCATTGTTATAAATAAGAAATGCCCATTGTTGCAGATCCATGCCCGCCACGGGTTGGTACCGAAACATCTCACATTTTGTCACAGTGAACCTGTTTTGTGGATCAGACCCCTTAAAGATTAAGAATGTCCTCCTGAATTGGTAGAGGGGTGTGTGGGTGTGCACCTCTGCGTGCATACCAGCACACACGTGTGTGTTGTGTGTGTGTAGAAAACAATGGTGGCAAATGAGGTCAGAGGGGTACCTGACGCAAGAAATAGCAGGCAGGGATATTTAGCTTAAATGAGCGTAACAATAACTGCAGTGATCATTTTCAACACCTTGCAAAACTCCTACTGTTGTGTTAACACAACAGTGACAGTAAGTGTGGAAGAACCAGAGGGGGAGGGCATTCTAGAACTGACACAACACAACCTCCCAGAGTGGAACAGGCACTTTGAGGTGAGACAGAGAGAGAGAGAGAATCTCAATTCAAAATGGTATAAATGTGCTCAAGAGGTTTTAGCTTTTCTCTTCCCCCTTTTTCTCTCCCAGGCGCTAGAGATTCTCAATTCAAGATGGTATAAATGTGCTCAAGAGGTTTAAGCTCTCTTCCCCCTTTTTCTCTCCCAGGCGCTGCTCACACGACTTCCTGCTTTTCTTGAACTCTTCTTTAAAACTTCTTGAACTCTTCTTAAAAACTAACGGCCAACAAAGGACTGCTTAGGCTTGCAGGCAGAGGCTTTGAAAGGGCTCAGCCTCCACTCTCCAATTCAAGATGGTATAAATGTGCTCAAGAGGTTTAAGCTCTCTTCCCCCTTTTTCTCTCCCAGGCGCTGCTCACACGACTTCCTGCTTTTCTTGAACTCTTCTTTAAAACTTCTTGAACTCTTCTTAAAAACTAACGGCCAACAAAGGACTGCTTAGGCTTGCAGGCAGAGGCTTTGAAAGGGCTCAGCCTCCACTCTCTCCCCTTCCCACCTGTCACCCTCCCACCCTTGGCCGCTGCTTGGGGAAGATGCAGGCTTGCAAAACACAGTCTGCATGCAAATGAAAGCAGTTCATGCCGAGGAAACCGGGCTTTCCTTTCATATGCCCCCCCCGTCTCACTATCCTGCCTGCAGGCTCACAAGTGCATCTGGCACCATTACGCTCAAGTGCAAAGACCTGAGGATCCTACAACTGGAAGTCCCCGGGATGGAGGAATGCCTCAACGTCGCCAGTTCCATTGAGGTGAGCAGGACTCGGCCTCCCGTGTGCAGGTCTGCCATCTGGAACGTGCAGAACTGCCTGGATGAGATTTCCCACGCACATGTGCAAAGGGCCCATCCCCACCATAGCCAGCCCACACATTTCTTCCGGGTGGCAGGTGGAAAAGAGGAGAGGAGGCTGGTCCGCCTAGACTGACCCCGTTCAGTTGCAGATGGAGCACCCCTTCAGAGGAAGGAAGAGGGCTGTGTGGCCACTTAAAATGGCCACCAGTTGGGGAGTAGTTTGGGAAAGTGGAAAAAATAATAATGACAGGCAAATAGGCGATGTAAGATCTTAGTTTTGTGAGAACCCTTGTTTTGGCCCCTGCCCGTGCTGGGTTTCCAAGCACTGTTACGTCGGAGGCAGAGGGTCAGAAAAATCAGTTCTCCCTTGCGGATGGAAAACAACACCCCAGCAGGGCAGGCCAAGCAAGCGGCAGCTCCTGATCTCGATTCAGAAGCATTTTTGTGTCTGGAGAGTTCAGGGAGGAATTCTGTGGTGATGGGACTTTTAGAAGTTTGTGTTCTGCGACTGACATGGTTATCATCCTTGCTCCCAACAGGCTCTCTCCTCTGTGGAGTCGGTGATGATGATGTACCCCTTTTTCTACAGACCCCTAAGCATGAAGCTAGAAGATGGGTGGCCGCTTTCTACGCTTGAGCAGTACTACCAGCAAATAGCCTCAGAAGTGAGTAGCAAAGGCTGGGGCTCAACAAGCAGAGGAGAAAGGGTCTCCCCCCACCTACCCAGGGCCTGCCTGGGGGGGTCGTGGCGACCCTTCATCCCAAGCGAATGTTATCCCCACCCATTGGGAAACGTCCCTCATCTTTCTTGGATCACCACTCCCAGAATCCACCATCCATCCATCCACCCGGTACCACAGGTCCCATACTCCCCTTGTCCCTCCTGCAAAGGGGGCAGGAAAGGGACGCTCCCGTTGACCCCTCTTCCCAGACAGGCACCTGGAGGCTCAGCTACGTCAATGAGGATTTTGGGGTCTGCCCCACCTACCCCTCAGCCGTTGTGGTGCCCGCAACCGTGGACGACGGAGCGCTGAGGAAGAGCGCCTGCTTCCGCCACGGAAGGCGGTTTCCAGTCCTCAGCTATTACCACAGAAAGAACAGGATGGTGAGTACCTCCCCTGTCTTTTGTTCTCCTGGCCCCGTCGCCCGAACCCTGAAGCAAAGGATACTTAAAATCTCAGAACTGCAGAGCTGGAAGAAGGGACCCTCTGGATCATCCGGCCCAGCCCCTACCAAGGAGGCCTGGGGGAGTGGGTGGGAATCGAACTCCCAACTTCCGGCTCTGCGGCCAGAGACCTTAAGCCACTGAGCTGTCCAGCGGTTCAACTTGGTACAGCCAGATCTCCCCACATCCGCCCTGTGAGCCCCTTTTGCAAACCGCAAGTTGTTGCTGTGATTCAAAAAAACGGTTTGTGCGAAGATCCTTGCAGGAAAGATGGGGGGAGGAAAGCTCACCGAATCAGATACTAGACCCTTTCTGCTTCCCGCTTCGGAAGCCAAGTTGTTGTTCTGGAAGGACCAGCTCGGGGGTCCGCAGCCCCATGGCCAATGTCCGTTCTCCCTTCCGGCTTTGGCAGGTCATGCTCCGCAGCAGCCAGCCGCTGGTGGGACCGAACCGGAAGCGCTGCCGGGAGGATGAGCTGCTGCTGAGCGCCGTGCTGGAGGGAGGGGGCCGTGGCTTCGTCCTGGACACCCGCTCTGCCCAGGCAGCCAAACAGGCCCAGATGATGGGCGGTGGGACGGAGCACCGAAGCTCTTACCCGGGATGGAAGAGGCTGCACCGGCCTCTGGAAAGGTAAGCCCGCCTTCTTCCCATCTGTCATTTCCACACACTGAGTGATCCAGAAGATACAAACAACCCATTCACTGCATTTGCTTTTTCAACATCCAAGCCCCCAGTTGTCGTTTTGTGCCGTTTGGAAATATAAAGCTCTCGTGGAGACTGAGAAAGAAAAACTTGCCGTCTTATGGGTCAGGAGAAATTTTCAGAGGTTTTCTCGTTTTTCCGCACAAGAACGAGACAAGCCAGGATTTACATCCCGCTTCTCGGACACTATAAAAATGTTTCATATTCTTAAGGATCCATTAAAGAGATCACCTGTTTCATGTGCTTGCAAAAATAAAAGACAAGGGAATCACTTGAGCTTTAATAAACCGCCGATTTGGCTCTTCTTTGCCATCACCCCAGGGGCCGACCCCTCCAGGAGAGCTTCGTCAAGCTGGTTGAGGCTTGCAACGACCCTTCCCTCAACATGGACCGCTGGCTGACCAAGCTGGAAGCCTCCCGGTGGCTGGCCCATGTCAAGGAAGCCCTGAGTACCGCCTGCCTCGCAGTGCAGTGCATGGAGAGGTACGGGCCCCATCCAGGGAGACCCTGATCCCACCTGGAAGACCAGGTTGGTCTGCACGGGCTCAGAATAGGTGCCTGGGGTGTGGAAAGGAAAGAGAACAAGGTGGGCTGATGTACACCTCCCCCAGCCCAGTCTGGGATTGTCAGAGGGGTGGGGCAGGGGAAAAAAGGGTGACCTCTCGGACGTCTGCCCCAGTCGAAGGGCAGGGCTAGGCAGGGCTGACAATGACTGGGGAATGCCGTGGCTTCCTTACAGAGAAAGGGCCTGCCTCCTGGTGCACGGAGCCGAAGGGACAGACACCACCTTGCTGGTCACCTCTCTCGCCCAGGTCATCCTGGATCCGGAGTGCAGGACCCTGGCTGGACTCCAGAGCCTGCTGGAACGGGAATGGATACAGGTACCTTCCCCGACTCTTGGTACCCGGCTGCGAAGGCAGAACAGAGCCCGATTTGGCATCCCCATGAGTTGTCCCCCCAAAAAACACTGCACACTCTCGATCTGGGTCAGAACGATACAGTAAGGCAAGAAAAGATTCTCCTCCTTTAGGGACATAAGAAATAAGAGTGTGCACTTTATTCCAAATTAAAAGCCCAAATCGTTTCAGCTTAGCCTTTTCACCCTTCCGGCTCAGCCAAAACGTGCCGGTCTTTTAACTTGGGATAAAATGCACGCTATCATTTCTACGTCCTGGGACCAGAATCTTCCTCTCTTCTTACAGCGTGGGTGGAGGCACCCATTCTTTTTTGGTTCTGGTTCAGAAAGCTACGGGCCAGCTCTTCAAGGGGGAAGATGGATCATTCCAAGCAGAAACATCAGCGGATGAGGTCTTTTTTGTCCGTGCCGAACAGGGCTGTCGGGAAACCCTATGCCATGACTTCATGCCAGTGTGGACGTACCCTGGGATAACACCGGTCTCCATTCGTACACCAGAGGGAAAAGGCCAGAAGCCACTTTTTTGGTTCTCACCCGTTGCCCCTTGCTTCCCACAGGCCGGACACCCTTTCTGCCTGCGCTGTGCCCACGCAGCGTATTCCCACGCCCGCCCCAAACAGGAGGCGCCCACTTTCCTGCTCTTCCTGGACTGCGTCTGGCAGCTGGGGCGCCAGTTCCCCTTCTCTCTGGAGTTCAGCGAGCGCCTCTTGGTGACCCTGTTTGAGCACAGCTACGCTTCCCCGTACGGCACCTTCTTGTGCAACAGCGAGAGAGAAAGGTGAGGCCAGACAGGTCAGGTACGTCGAGGCCAAGAGGGAGGGCCGCGGGCGCTGGGCCTGGGAAGGACGGGAGGCCTTACAATGACGAGTCTTGATGTTTGAGAGTCGGAGCCATCACATGCTTTCTCAGAGCTTGCAAAAGGGACAATTCTGGACGACGACTCCCGTAATCCACCAGAAGTGGTTTTACTATGCCCTTCTTCTGGAGGCACCCTGTGACTATCGTGCAGCTGGCCCAAGGCCACCCAGGCTGGCTCTTCCAGCATGCACCATGCTGTGGGGGAAACAAACTCCCAACCTCTCTGGTTCTGCACCCAGAGACCTAAACCACGGAGCTGTCCTGCCAGCTCAGCAGGTGCAGCAGCTGAATATTAAAATAATAATGGTCCAGCCAACGCCCCATCTCTTCACTGCTGATGAAACCGCTAGCCATTCCCCCAGCGACTTTAATAAATGAAGGGTTTGGGGAAGGACAGAGGCCAGCGGAGGCTGTTCTGACCGATATTGACCCACAAAGGGGTCAGCCCCACCCTTCAGGGGAAAAAAAAGGACCGAGAGATGTTGCTGGCTCCCCCTGCAGGAAACTCTGTGAAGTGAAAGCGAAGACTCACTCTCTCTGGCCTTGGCTGAACAGTGAAAAGCAAAAGTACCTGAATCCCCTCTACGTGCACAACCCCCTGGTCATCTGGCCGTCTGTGGAGCCGCAGAGCATCCTACTCTGGCAAGGTACAATCATCCTTCTTTTGCTCTTTTTGTATTTTCAAAAGTGACACGGGCTTCTTTTTCCTCAAACATTCTAAGTATGACCTAAAACGTGCACAACACGTTCTAGAACCTAATCCATCTGTTTTTCTGCAGGCACTCTGCTCCCTTTTAAGACTATATGACCACACAGATTTCATGGAATTAAATAAGGCTCTGCCTTCTCCATCACTTACCACTTAGTTCTAGTCCTGGGCTGGGGAATTACAGTATATGGGGGCAGCTCCATGTTTTGCTGGGTGGTAGCTCTCATAAGCCATCACCATGGGCTACAAGGGCTAGAACGGATGGAAATTGCCATTTAGCAGCACCTGGAAAGTTCTAGGTTCCCAATACTTGGCTGAAACCTACTAAAGGCACCAAATTTCTGGTGATGTTGGGATGTATTGTATTTATCTGTGCCTTGAAGAGAATATAAGGCAAATGCTATTTGTGAGAAATGCTATTATCCATTGCCCATTGTGGGTCTTCAGAGAATGCACAACTTCAAACTTCTGTAAGCGTAGTCTAAATCAAGCTCTCAAACCAAGGGTCTGAACTGGTTCTAGGGATACCTTTCCTCTTTACAAACATGCATTAGATTATCAAGATACATGATGAAGAACTAAGATAGCTCTCTGGACCTGCCTTTGGCACTGAGCTTCGCCCACACTATTTAGCTGGGCTTGCAAAAGCAGGACTCTTAATCACCCCCCAAAAGAGAGGACCTAGAACTGCTCCCGGTTGATCCTTGTACCCTGCATGGGAAATACCTTTAACAGCTGTGCTTCCTGTAGGTTTATTCCTCCGCTGGGCCCGTTCATCCCATTATCTAGACGAAGTGTGGACAGAAATCCAAAAAATAGTGGGCAAAACTCACCCACCAAGGACGTGCGAAACAGCATCTACAGAAACTGCAACACAAACCTTCTCAGAAAGAAAAACCAAAGTGCCACACAATTCATCTAACGATCACTTGTGAAATGGGACACCCAACATCAGGCAAGGCCTGGACACCTCTCCTTGCCTGGCAAAGGTGGACTTTAAAAAATAGAGTAAATAACTGATTGGTAAACCCAGCCTGTGTTGCATTTTGTGTGTGTGTGTGTGTGTGTGTGCGTTTGCACGCGCAAAAGAATCTTGTACAGGATTAGACTCGAAGTCTGAACCCAACTAGTAATCCCAGAGTACGCATGCGAGAGAATTTTGTACAGGATTAGACTCAAAGTCTGAACCCAACTAGTAATCCCAGAGTAGACCCATTGAATTCTAATAGGCTTGACATGTTGATTTCCCAGTCAGCAACTGAGCCCACTGGTTTACTGCATCCGGGATATCTAACCTGATTTAGACCACTGCTTCTAAACCAGTGGTCCCCAACCTTTTTAACAGTGTGGCCCGGTTGGGGAAGGGGGGGCCCCCCCCCCCCCCATGCTCACGCTCATGCAGATTCAGGTACAGAGAAATTTTCTGCAGGCTGCCAAATCTAGGGTGTTCTGCACGCTTTACCATACGCTTTGCTTCTGAGCTTCTGCCCCTCTCAGGAGAGCTGTTTAGTCCTGTCAGTTTAAATTTAGGTGATAATTACCTTGCGCTGTAGCAAATAAATAAAAATCCTGCATTAAGGCAGCCTGAATTCTGCAGCTGAATGTAGGAACAGCACATGTTAAAGAAATCACCATAAAAAGACTTAATTCTACTGGTTGGAGAGGAAGGTACCTAACAAAATTCACACACTCTTCTACTGTGGTAGGAAACATGAGTTTATTACTTCCTTCTATGTTATTTCTATAAATACACCAAACCAGGCAGGAAGTCACTGTTCCTGAGAGCAGAGAAAAAGGACACCCCAAAGCCACCACGGAACAAAGCAACAGCTACCCTCTGCTTCGCTTTGTCTCTCCATTAAGCCTCAACTCAGGAACAACCACAACTTCACGCGCTGCTGAAACTGTCGAGATCGAAAGGACGCAGGAAGGCCTCGTTCACACTTCAAACTCGAACTCAAAGTACTGGGGGTCGAAATAATGGATACGGACGTAGCCGTCCTCACCACCGCTGCTGTAACTGAAAAGGACAGAGCAAAAGCCGAATCGTCAGGGGTTCCAGGTTCTCAACCGCCCGCCTGGAAAACCAAGACGAACAACTGGCGTCCTCACCTCTTTCCATCGGGGTGGAAAGCGACGCTGTTAATGGGACCGAAGTGGCCCTTGACTCTCCCAAATTCTTCCTCGACGGCCAGGTTGAAGAACCTAAAGCATGTCACAAGGAGAGGCAAGATGAACCCCAAAGAGACCAACAGAGAACAGACAAAACAGAAACGTCTCTTCACTGCCACCGCTCAAGGCGCTGGACGCCAGAGCCGGATCTCTTGCAAAACGAACAGAGCGTCGCCGTCACCGCTTTACAGAAGCGGCACAGGAGCAGATCCACTCACCTGGCTTCAAACTTGCCAATCCTGGTGGAGGTTGTTGTCACATCCATGGCTTCTTGTCCGCCTCCCAACACCACCTGAGGAAATGGGAAAAGGGGCATACCTCGATCCTGTTCCTTAGGCACGAGGTGACCGCTCAGGGGAACTCAGTGCAGCCTCTGAACGCCCAAGATCGGATCGTTGTACACTTATAGTCTTGAGGCCCACTCCACTCCTCCCACCCCAGCAACACGACAATTTCACTAAACCAGGGGTGACGAGGCGGCTGATTACAACAGCCCTGGCTCCTTCGAAGGGGGCCACAGACTGGAAACAATTCCTCACACACCACCTCCTCAGGTTCTTTATGTGACTTATACAGTCCTGATCCGGCCTGTATTTCTTTCATGTTGTGTTTATGGCTGTGGCAGGGGAAAACCCAGTGCCAAGAATGGCTGCTCTAGAGAGCCACCATTTGCCTCTCTCTACTCTTATCAACTGTGACCTATCTAGGTGTCCCCAAACAGTTTGGTAAGGATCCCCCTGTCACTCCTGCAGTCCGCAGCCTTGCTCCTTAGTTTCCTTCTCCATTTCCACAACCCGCCAGAGCTAAGGAGAGCAGGCAACGCACAAGAGGCAGTCAGTGTTCAGAAGATGTCAGAGATGGAGCACCAGAGGAATTTATTCCTTCAACCTCGGGGAGGCTCAAGCTACTGAGGAGGGCCTGCCCCAGGGAGAATAAAAGGGTGACCCTCTCTTGCCCGCCAACCTACGTGCTCAAAGATCGGGGAGAGAGCGGCCGAGTTTACTGGCCGTTCCGTCCGGAAGGTCTTCAGGTGATCAAGGTTCGTGGAGTCGAACAGCTGCAAGGGGAGAAACGGGGGTTTTAGCACAAGCGGCCGGCAGAGACCTTGAGCTTCAGTCCACTGTGCGTAAGGCCAGAACAGATCGGCCACCATCCTGGTTCCTGGAAGGTCTCCTGAAGGTTCACTTGGTGACCGAGAAACCCAGGGCTCTTACGCCATCTACATGCATCCCGCCTCTTCCCCCGACCCCCTCAGCTCCTCAGTCCAACAGCCAGGATTCCCAGCTTGTTCTATAGCTCACAAGGGGCCAGACAAAGCACAAGAAATGCTCATGACAGACCCGAGGCATTCTTCCCATTCACTTTCCCCTGTCGGCTGAACCATGACCTAGAGAGAGGGGAAGCCTTCGGTAGAGCTGGCCTCGTAGGCCTCCGTGGCTTCTCTGCCCTACAAAGGGTCTCTCTGCGCAGCCTCTAGACAAGGAGAATCTTTCTCAAATGCCAACCGTATCGCTGGTTCTCGAGAGAAAAACAAGGACCGGAGGCTCATCCTTCCATCAAGCATCCCAGACGCACCTTGGCAGTGTTGTCCTTGGAGGCCGTGATGAACATGGTCATGTCTCGTGACGTCTGGATGTCGTTGATCTGTTTGGTGTGTTCTTTCATGTTCACGAGCACCTCCCCGGACTAGGAGAAAAGGGAAAAAGAAGTGAAATGAAGCAAAGCCTATCCCTTCTCCATTTCCAAGCATAATGTTGCTAAGAGGAACAGAGCCCATTTTCAGCATTATTATTTCAGTCCACCTTACATCATCCTTGTTCAGAGGAGCAGAGGGTGGCACAGTTTGAAGGCGCACAAGGTGGACGTCTTGCCAAAACTCAGCAGGTTTGGAGCTGACCAGAGACTAGAAAGGGGAACTCCCTTGGGATTACACACTGACCCTGGGATTGTGGGATTGACCTTTCTGCCTGAGTTGGCATTTCTTAGGATAAACTAGGTGGTAACTGCAAAGCCTGCGAAGCGTGGAGAGGCAGGTAAAATGCTGCAGGAAGGAACAGTGATCCGGCCAGGTGGTCCCTTTGGTTTCGCTCGCCTCTGGTGTTGTTAAAAAAAAAAAAAACACAACCATTCCAACCCGCACTAACCTTGGGCACAGAGAAGCGGGTAAAAATACTGCAGGAAGGAACAGTGATCCGGCCAGGTGGTCCCTTTGGTTTCGCTCGCCTCTGGTGTTGTTAAAAAAAAAAAAAACACAACCATTCCAACCCGCACTAACCTTGGCACTGAACTGGTTCAGTTCCCCGTTCTCATGCCCAGCAATAATGAACTCTCCAAGCGGACCCCAAACGGCACTGGTGATTTTGGATTCGCTGCACGGGATTTTCATGTAGGGCTCATTGTCTTCTGCGGGTGGACCAAGAGAGACAAAAGGAGATGAAGCCATGCTAAGGCTCTGAAAACAGAAACTGCTCCCCCTCCCCTGCCTGGCTCCTCTGGCCAGAGGCCTTACCGATCTGGCTGGAGTCGCGGAGGTCAAAGAAGCTGACGAAACACTGGTAGCCCATCTGCTTGTCCGTCGAAAACATGATGATGTTGCCCCCGAAGTCGAAGCCGCAGGTTCGCACGGCTGAGTTGGTCTTGAGCAGCGCGAGCTGCTTCCCTAGACGTGGAGCATAAAATCAGGAGGTAGGCCTGGATGACACAGCTGCCTGATCTCCGCGCGCAGCACTCTTGGCCTGTGGATCCTAGCCCTGTCTCTCTGGCTAGCTGCCAGAGGCAGGAAGAGAAAGGAGGTGGCTCTCCAGCCTTACTATCTGAGCCCCTTTGCTACGATTCTTCTTCTGTCACCAGAAAATGACGGACCCCAAAAACCCTGAGTCCAATCATAATAATTTAGGGTAAATCCAACTGAGTTCAAAATGTGGTCGACTCCCAAGTAAATCTGTTTTCTACGTTCAAGTTTCTCCCCCCTCCCAAACAGAAAAACATCTACTAGACCTATCTGATCACTGTTGAACATCAGGAGAGAGTCTGAAAATAAACATTTGTGTACACCTGTGTGCCAGCCAGATTCCACTTTTTTTTCCAATATGGCTTAAGATGGTGGCTACACCATAAAGGATCACAATGGAGCCTGATGAAATTACTTGGGAATCGCACATGCTAGTGCTACTGTTGATGCGATACAAATACGACTCCATTTTTGAGGAAGCAAGTGCTGTGTCATTCTTTTTAAAGCACTACACTAAGATCTCAAAGTTCAGGATGGGCTACCTGCAATATTCTGTTCAACCTTTCTCACAGAACCACGTGGATCATCGCTTGTTCATCCACACAAGCACCAAATGGGGGATCTCGTGGTGCTCGTTTCTGTGTTCCCCCAGCTCCCATCTTCCATCCTGCCTCACTGCTCACTGGGTTTCCCTCCCTCTGTTCTGCCTCTCCAAAGACCCTCTTTCTGTACCTTACCTGTTTCGCAGTCCCAGAGCCGACAGCTGTTATCCGCAGAGCCTGTTAACACATGCCTGGTGTCCCCTGAAGAAGCAGTTAGGGAATCCAAATGTAAAATACATGAAATGTCTCGAAGCAGAAAACGAAGATGGGGTTACTATGAGAACAAACGCTCAGACAGGGTGTCTTGTTTCCTGGTCACATGACCTTCCAGCCTTTGAGGATGTGAGACAAGACTTAATATACGAATGTGAGCTACACTGGCTGGGAGCAAGCTTTAGTTATGTATTTATCTCCTACCTTTCTATCAAAAATAGCACTCAAGGCAGCTGACAACTTCATAGAAGAATTATAACAAAACCACATTTAATGATAAAACCCTCCAACTAACCGCATCACTAAAATCAAGTAAACAATCCACATTCTAGAAGCAATTAGGGATTCCATGGTGTTACACTCCTTCCTATCATCTGCTTATTAATTCTACATCTTTGCCACCCATTACCGTGGCCACCTCATGCATGGGATGAAAACCTATTAAAGGCCGGCACCAGTCTCCTGGTTGCTACAGACAGTTAATCTACCAGTATCCGTAAGAAGAATAAACTAGTCTTAAGTAACAAACACAATGAAGTGTCACTCGGGCCAAAATAATCCCTTCTGGTGTCTGAGTTACTTAACATTAGTTAAGAACACTTGGGAGTCTATTCTGGAGAAGCTGTGATCTGATAAAGCTGTCTTCTGAAACCAAAAGATACAGTCTGCATCCACACACCAGACAGCGCCGGTATGTCCATTGTATGTGCCAAGTCTTTCGCCGTTCACAGAGTACCAAACATTAACGATCTGGTGAAGAGAAAAGAAGTCAGTATGTCAAGCATTATTACACACACATCCAGAATAGGAGAAGGCCATAAACCACCCAAAGATCAGCTGGAATGTCAAAGATGAACCGTTTTCTCTCAAAACCCTGTGGAAACAGACATTTACAAAGACACAGCCTCTGT